AGTAAGTTTTTTCCCCACCCCCCCCCCCCCCCCCGCCCCCATCACTTTTCTAATGGTCCGTCCCTAATAGCCGTCCCTTGATTAATCTCCTTCCTCGAATAATCGTCCCCCTTTGACGGCCGGAAATATTTAAAATAATCTCCTCCCTCGACTGATTGCCCCTCCAACCCCTCTCGCCATCTTCTCTTTCTTATATAGCCCATGTTCAGTTGGGAACAATGGGCTGATAAAACAGAATATTTAGGGCACGACTTCCAGTAAGCAATATTTGAATTAATCGCCTTCCCTCGAATCCTCGGCGATGATTCGAGGAAGTACAGTATCCTAGAAATCAAGCGTATGACTATTTGTAAATTAAAGACATAACTTTCCAACTGCAGAGATTTTAATGGGTTTTAATAATTCAACATAGGTCAGCCTCGTCTATTGAGCAATTTTACGAGGATGGTATTCTGGTGTTCAGTCATTTCAAAGTTGCTTCTTTTACCATGGTTAGGTGATCGGCAGCTACGATCAGACGTTTTTCTTTGATGTTTTCAGACTAGCGCGAAAGTCGGCGGACGGGCAGCGAAAGTGAAAAAAAGGTTCTTTTCTCCTCGCCTCCAATAAAAAGGAAGAAATACCGCCTGATCGCATGTTAGCTTCGAAGCGCTTTCAAGAAGAGCGTGGCGTAAAAGGAGGAGTGTTGCGTGACGTCACAAAACTAACGGAGTACCGTAGTTGAATATCAATTTCACGGTTGGTTGCTGCCATCAACTCCTTCAGGCAAAAACAACGTGTCGCCGGTAGTACTTAGTAGATGCGTGTTGTTTAATGTCATGGCCAGTTTCCCAGTGATTCAATTAACAGAAGGCGAGTGGACGTCCGAGAAATGGTATGATATTTTGGAGGTGAAGCTTCCAAACTTTTTCACCAGCGATCCCGCATTCCTCAGAGATTACATTTTTAATTTTAAGACGAGACCGGATGACGTTTTTATAGCCACATATCCCAAATCAGGTACGTCAATAAGTTAAACTTGCAGTAAAAGAGGCTTTAAAACTTTGCGATATGGTAGTTTGAAAAATGGTAGTTTTCCTCGGCCCTCGTCTCGAGGGACCTAAAGTGAACTGAAATAAGCAAAATGGTACAAATAATTTCCCACTTTGATTCACCTTGAAGCAGTGTCATCTGGTTCCAAAACGATTACGTAACCTCTCGTGAATGGCGACCCTGCGGTCCTGTAATCTGGCGATCTCGCGATCATACCCCCAATTCTTTTTCAAAAAAAAGAGAACGAACGAGCGAGTAACCTTATTCTTTGCTATGCTATAATGCTTGTTAAATATTATGTAAATATTATCTGTTATATTTTGATTATATGACGTCAATCCTATAACGTTCGCAAGTGTCACCAAAGCCACCCTGTAACACAAAGTAGCAAGTTTAATTTCACAATTTGCCTATGAAGTCTAGAGTAGGCAATACAAAAAACTAAAGTAGGCTTGTAGGGAATATCAAGTACTAGTAAACACTTGATATTCCCTACTTGTTATAGCCCACTTGTAGCGAAAAGCGCCGGCGTTGAAAACCAAAGCTATGGAGGCTGAATCGCGTTTTGCTAAAACTAAAGTTGTTTTGTCCCGATAGTTTTGACCAACTAGTTGGATTTTGCTAAAACAATTATTCCTCTCGCCCATTCGGCCTTCAGCCTCGTGAGCTATTCACTCAGTTCCCATTCGGGCTCGAGGAATAATTGTTAAATATAATACAATGAAACCTGTATTAAGAGGTCACCCTTGAGGACTGGCTTATTGACCGCTTCATACAGGTTTGACAAACCTAAGAGTTGTTCAAAAAAATGAAGTTGGTAAAAGAGCAAAATATTTATCCCACAACAAAACGACCTCGAAGTGCCTCTACCTCTTCTTGAGCTGAAAAAGGAAGTAAGAGACCAATAAACGCCATTCACACCATATCTGCTGCACTAGTATGTATGGTACGCGTCTTATAGGTGAAGACAATGAAAAGTAACTCGTTGGGACCTCGGAAAAAGTGACCGCAACTGCTTAATAAAGGAGACCGTTTAATGCAGGTCAGATTTACAGTATGCAGCTATTTCGAGAAAAGTTGTCGGAAAAAGTGCGCGAGACAATCCCGAAAGGATTGTGGTTTTGAGCTCACTGTTCTTCGAAGAAATTTGAAAGAATGGCACGAGAGGCCATGGACGTATGTTTGCGAGTGCTAAAGTGAAGCAACAAAAGTAGGTTCGAAAGCTACAGTGTTAGGGAGAGTGTGTTGATCATATCCCATAATACCTTTCGGGATTGTAGCGTGCACATTTTATCCGACAACCTTTCTTCTCGAAATAGCTGTAAACTGAGGGAAATGATTTCCGGTACTCAGGTAGGTGACCGCTAAATTGAGGTTTGCTCGAATATATAGGTTTGACTGTATATTCACAAAATTACGGTATCTATTATTTTCATTCAGGGACAACTTGGGTGCAAGAAATTGTCTGGCAAATCTATCACGAGGGGGCAGTCAGCAGTGCAAACTTTTCTCATCGAGTGCCATTTATTGAAACAGCCACCAATGAAATGATTTGCCCGTTTAGCCTGGACACTTTACCAAGCCCTCGCATTCTTAAGAGTCATCTTCCGCTTAACAGCATTCCGAAAAGTGATAACAAGGAAATGCAGTGCAAATATATTTACGTGGCCCGCAANTGTATATTCACAAAATTACGGTATCTATTATTTTCATTCAGGGACAACTTGGGTGCAAGAAATTGTCTGGCAAATCTACCACGAGGGGGCAGTCAGCAGTGCAAACTTTTCTCATCGAGTGCCATTTATTGAAACAGCCACCAATGAAATGATTTGCCCGTTTAGCCTGGACACTTTACCAAGCCCTCGCATTCTTAAGAGTCATCTTCCGCTTAACAGCATTCCGAAAAGTGATAACAAGGAAATGCAGTGCAAATATATTTACGTGGCCCGCAATCCCAAAGACATAGCAGTATCGTATTTTCATTTCACGGAGCATAGGCGAAAAGCGGGTAATGGTTTTAGTGGGCCATGGGAATTTTATGCCAAGTTATTCATAGAAGGAAATGGTAAGTTTCGATAAGTTGACTTAATGAGATGTCTCCGTACTTATCGAGGGCTTTTCTGTACTTGAAATGCAGAGTATTAACATTTAATTTTTTTGTTGCAAGATCTCGTCACCCATCGAGCGTGAGGACTTTAAAAGGCTTTGTCAGGTCGCAAACATACTCCAGCCAGTTGTTCAAAAGATGGTAGCGCTATCCAATGGATAGATCTTTAGCCAGTAGATAACGCAATTGATTTCTCTAATAATATACACTTAATGTCAGATCCCGAGGGAAACATTTAGTTTTGTTTGCCCAAGAGTTAAGTGTTTTGTGATATTTCTAGACTTTCACTCCAACGTACTTCAACAGCGACAAAAGAATACGCTTAAGAGGAGCGAATCAAAACAGTACGACTCGGTACTTATAAGAACACAAATTTAATTCCCAAAACCACTGAATGAATGGTTTAAAAAGTACTTTCCTTATATTACCTGCATCTTTTTCCTCCACTGGCTGCTGTCTCTCTTCTGGGATAACTTTGAAAATCGTTGCTTTTCAGCTTGAGGCTTCATGTTTGTGTTATTGTGAATGTTGTTGTGTTCACTCACGAAAAAGAAAACTGGCAGTGTTTTCCCGCCTTCTGTCACGCCACTTTCCACCATGCTTTGATCACGTGCTGTATTAATGTATCCCGAGCGGGTTACATTGCTTGATGTATCACGATCGGGATACATTTGATTTTAGTCAAGGCCATGTGACCAAGAATCAGCTAATGGCTGTCCCTGTTCAGTTGAGTGAAAGTCTAGGAATATAACAACAATACTTATCCGCTGGATACTGATTTATCCGGTGGATAGCGCTATCCAACGTTTGAACAACCGGGGCCAGGGGCTCTTTTCTGTTGTTCATGACACAGGCGAAGTCAAAGGCGGTCGAGGATGACAATTTTTTACAGATCCCTTTTTTTATCTAAAGGGAACAAAAACAATGTCCATTGGTGGTTGAGTTTCACTGTCGAAGCCCTCCGTTCGGCTGTTAGGTCGTTGAAAATAACGCAGCTGTCTAATGACTTGCTTTACAATAACTGTATTTTATGGAACGTCACATTCTTTGGTTGTTTACCGGTATTTTTTTTGTTGAATAGTGTGTTGGAACGCTTGAAATGACCATGTTCTTGACTGGCCGAAACACAGAGACGATCCTAATATCTTGTTTCTCAAATATGAAGATTTACACAAGGTACGCAGCAGCAGCAGCAAATGACTTCATTAGACTGCGTGGCGTGGTTTGTTTTATTTGGTTAGTTTTTCTAGAGCGCGCGCGAGGGAAACATATGCGAGCGCGGCGTCCTCGTAATTCCTCACTCCAGAAACTGTAAGGGGAGTGGGTACAAGCTTTCCGCGCAACGATTTCTGGGATTGTTTGGGTGAACAAGCGTTAGTTATGATTGGTCGATGGTATTCAAGGGGACCATCAACCAATCATAACTAACGCTTGTCCACCCAAACTATCCCAGAAATCGTTGCGCCGAAAGATTGAGTCCATTATAGTTTCTGGAGTGGGGAATTCTCCCTTCTCCCTTAAAAAAACGGCTCCCGCGAGCTACCCAAGCTAATGAAAAACAGTTGATTGACATTGGATCGGACTACCAAGGGAACAACGTTTTGACTGGAAATACACCAACCAACAGTGAGCATCAAATACACCAATCACTAATAATCACTGAGAATCGTGCTCATCCAAATAAGAAATGATCGATTGACAAATTTGTCTCCCCAGCATTTTTTTTATAACCAACTGAGATTATCTCTGAAAATACCCGGCAATATTAATACTGGAAAACCCAATTTTTATCTCGTTAAATGTATCCATGTCGGGATGGGGGGTACTTCCACATAAGAGGCTAATGGAGATGTGCCGCTGGGTGGGGTCGCATTTTCACAACTGGGTTGACTATAATGGAGTTACATTTTCAATAGAGTTACTAGAATGGGGCCGCACATTTTCGGATTTTTTGAGGTAAGACAGACTTCATATTTACGATTAGCAAACGTACCAGAATTTTTGTACTGCAGCTCAAAAGTAAAGTGTTCTTCATTAAATCTAAAAATTGGGTCAATTCATAAAAATAGAGAGTGAGTAAGTTGGGATCGCGAAAATTACATATTTGCCCAAAAGTGACTACGATGGGGTCTATAATTGGCCACAGAATAGACTATATTGGGGTAGGGACTCTTAGAGGTTAGGCCAGCGGCACGTACAAAAATTACCCTTATTACCCCCACCACCCCCCCCCCCCCGGGGGGATTACCCCCCCCCCCCCCCCCCCCCCGGGGGGATCCATGTGTACCTTGTTTTGTACTAAGTGAATGCGTCATCATGAGCATTTCTTCGCTGTTTTAATGGTTATTTTCATGGTTACATCACTTTCGTGGCTGGTTGCTATCCGCTGTATGGCGTAGCTCTTTTTTTAAAAAGTAGGAAATGCTACGTTTATGGCGGAGCTATTCAAATCAATGCGCCAGAGTCCAGCTTCCACTTTTATGCCCTTAGCACTGTAATATGATTATCGTGGAAACTGAATTGAATTTTGGTTAATATTTACGTGTCAAAGAGCAATTTGTCCAGATTTGTGAGTCAGGCGTAGGAAAATCGTCCGTGATGCGTGAGATCGATGTCTTTAGTCCGCAGGCGTGAGACTCACGCATAATGCATGAGAGCTGACGGGTATATAACAATGTAATCTCTGTGTTTTACTGGCGTAATGTGTTGATGGGTCTTACACATCTCACCATTTCTCTAAAAATTCTTCATTGTAGGATTTACCGTCCCATGTACGAATGATTGCTGATTTCCTGAAAAAGCCACTGGCCGATGAACTCATTGATCGCATTGCACAGCAGTGCACTTTGAAGGGCATGAGGGAGAATGAGATTAGCTTCAAGTTGAGCAACGAAGAGGAGAGTTCGCCTTTGTTACGAAAGGGCGTGGTGGGAGGATGGAAGAGTTATTTTACTCCAGACCTGAATGAGAGATTTGAAAAGGAAGTGTTAGCAAAACTCAAAGGCACCGGATTAAAGTTTGATTTTGAAATTTAGTAGAAAAATGCACTCTTGATTCGTTGTTATTAAGGTTGCTATTCGGAAAAAGCCTGTTCTTGGCAGATTAATGTTAGGTGCGGATATGGATATGAGTTTGTGACTGATTCAAAATAATCATGACTATTTCTCTGCTAAGATATCATTTTCAACTTCCTCTGCCTCAGGGCAATTATTTTCGCGTTCTTTAAACCGTCAAAGAGTCTGACTTTGCTGATTGTCAGACATCTTAAACATATGGCACGATGTTGTAGTAATAAACGTATCCCTAGGCCTTTATATAAATATAGGTCCGCCATAAATCCCCGGGGAACTATCAAAATTTGTCACATAGCGGGAAATTTTTTTCCCAACACCGTGCGCTCTCATTGGTTACCTCCGGGTCACTTAACATCTAACAAAATCTAAGGCATGGGACAACATTGAAAAATCTATGAAGCCACAGGGTAATAGTGCACTGTTACCCGCAAACAGTTAATGCTCACCGACGACCGCCTTTACAGCGAGGTTAAATGATTTTCCAGCGTCAAAATTTCAAGCTACAGTAGAACCCCGGTAACTTGAACTCTGAAGGGAAACGAAAAATAGTTTGAGTTAGCGGGGGCTCGAGTTAACGGAGTCGATTGCAAAACTCAATTTGCCTTATTAAATATTGATAGTAACCGGGATAACTGGGATGCCTTGGACGACTGAGATGAAAGAGATGACCGGGATGACTGGGAAGACTTGTGCGTGATTGGTAGGTCCACCGCACAGGAGTTTTGACAGGAAAAATTATTGCGTGATTGGTAGGTCCGCTGCGCAGGAGTTTTGAAATGCAACTCAATGTGCTCGTGATTGGTTAGTCCACCGCACAGGAGTATTGAAATGGAGGATGTGTGTGTGAGCGGAACGGTCGCCGTACAACAGTTTTGTGATCAGATAGTTATTATGTTTGTGAGTCATACAACTCGAGACGTTTTTTACCACTGCCACCGTCGGTGCGTCTTAGCGGACGCGCTGTGATTTAATTTAGGCGCAGCTGTGTCGCAAATCTTCTAAATGACCTAGTCAGTATAAATAAATACCCTGTAAAACCAAGAGCGCTTCGCACGCTTGGAGGCTCTGCTATGATATCCGTTTTTTTCTCTTTCGAAGATTAGACCTATTGTAAAAAAACTGCCATTCTGAGCCGGCTGAAGCAGGAATTTCCACCACAATTAAGCACTTTCTTATTTTAAAGTCTCCCAACACCCCTCGTTCCTGCAGTTCTGCAGCAGTTCTGCCATGCTCTTGGCATTCAAATCGCTCTTATTCGTCGGCTTAGACATTTCGACACTGAGACTATTCGAGCTTAGTTAAAGCGAACTTGAAATAGCGACTCGTAGTTCGTACAAGTACAGTGTGTGGAAGAGAGCGGATGTCCGAAATTTCAGGGTCGGCTTAAAACAAAGGTCATCAAAAGTGACGTGAAGCTACAAATGAAATCGTACGCTCAGAAGGTGAACTTTAGTCGAACAGCTGAACTTTATATAGATACACCTTGTTCACAAACTATATACACATCTTACAGACACCTTATAAACGCCCTAAATACACCTTATATGTACACCTCATATACACGTTATATAAACCTTGTGGCACCTTAGATATAATTGTGTTTACATACACCTTACATGCATCTTATATTTACAGCACCGTATATACACCTTACAATAAGCCTTATATACACCCATATCATTTTCACCTTACATTTGCCTTATTCACACCTTTTATACACGACGTTTACGTTCTATTTTCCGTTTTAAGTAAGCCATTTTCTCTTATTTACTGATTTTGTTTCTGATTTCACTTTGCTCATATTAATTTTCCTTTTTTCTTCGTGTTAACCATTTTCTTGTCTTTTTTTCGGCTTTGGGCTTTCTGTTTTCTGTTTTCTGTCTTCTTCTAACCCACCCACCCATCGACAACAAAGGCAGTTAAAAGTGATATTCCGGCGTTCCTGCACTCCGTCGTTCCAGCGTTTCAGCGTTTCAGCATGTCATGTTGTGATCACGTGACCCGCAAGCTGAGTTGCAGTGGCGGTAGAACAAGAAGCCGCGTATTGTTTAATATCATGGCTAGTTTTCCAATCATTCAATTAACAGAAGGCGAATGGACTTCCGAGAAGTGGTATGATATTTTGGGGGTAAAGTTACCGAACTATTTCACCAATGATCCTGCATTCCTCAGAGACTACATTGATAATTTCCAGACGAGACCGGATGACGTTTTTATTGTCGGGTATCCCAAATCAGGTACGTCAACACGTTTAAAAAGGCCTATACTACTTTGATGGTTGTTTGAAAACGTTGCGGGAGGGCTCGAGGTACCGTAAGTAAACCATATCATCCAAACAATTTAGCCTTCAATTCAACGCAGACGTTTTTTGGCCCGTCACGCAACGAATCCCTGAGAACCTAAGACCTGCATGTCACGCGACGTTGTCAAGGAGTCTTCAAAGCTTTGTCTAGAAACACGGCGTATACTACGCAGTGGAATATGAACAGTCGGCTGTATACTTCATTACATTCCGTTCGTTGTAATACATTACATTCAGTACGACGTTATTAGATCCGGTAGATACTTCATCTCGGCCAGCGACTATAAGCCCCTCCAACTCTTCCATCCCCTGTATTTACTACATTATACTCGGGTGTGTTTCATAATTATAACCACAATTATTATTATGGCTCTTGAAAGTGTAGAAATGACTTGCGTCAGTTTGTTTGATAACCCGTTCAGAAGTGACTCAGTGCCATGCATGCCAACTCTCCCGGATTATCCGGGAGTCTCCCGGTCTTCCGTGTCACCATATCTCCCGAATGAAATCATCTTTTGAGCTTTTCTGTTCCCTAGTTTGAGATTCAGCCCATTTTTAGCTCAAAACTTGAATTTTTCTTATTCGGTGTACGGTTTCTGGGGCATTTAGTCACTGACAAAGACTATTTCTGGCATCAAAACGATGATAGCGAATTTTGACCGTATGTACTTCATGTAAGACTTCATATAATGTCCTTTGTCGTTTCCATATTTATCTGGGGTGGGGAGGCGGGGCAGGGTTCATCGAATTTAAGTTGGGGGGTGGGGGTGGGGCGGGGTAGTGGAAAAGAGGGAGTCTCCAGATTTTACATCTCCCGAGGTTGGCATGTCTGCGTTCATTCCTGTGCCTCTCCACCCAAAAAGTCTTGGATTCTGGATTTCCACATTCCAGATACTGGATTCCGGATTCCTTGATCTGTTTCCCTTATTTCTTTATTTGTATTTTTAGCTGTATTCCCTATTGCAAAGCCCAGAATTTCGAATTCCACAAGCACAAATTTCCAAAATGGCGACAATTTTATTATTCTTTTATAGCTATGTTAATTGGCCCTGGATGCCTGGATCGATCTTGAGAATTCAAAAACATTTCTAGCTGGAATCGAGTCGTCCAGGGCTAAGCAACATAAGTATAAAAGAATGACAAAGTCGTCACCATTTTGGAATAAGGTGTATGCAGGTATCAATGGTTGGAGAGGCGGTGGAGATGGGGGTGGGGGGGTGGTCTAGTGGCATAGGTGTGGCGTTTGAAGATTTTTGCTTTTTCTTGGTTACATTCGCGACCCTTAGGACTGGAAAATAGTTCAAATTTGATAAAATATTCCTTACTAGGGTTAACAAAACCCCAATTTGGGATCAAATTTGGGGTCCAAATCCCCAGAATGCATGTCCAGCACTGGCCATGAAATCCAGAGTTTCTTCACTTCTTACTTAGTTCTACACTTCTCAGAGGTGTGGAAGGTTGGAATAGTCCGACAAAGTAAGGATATTGTCGCACTTTTCCCCCAGTCATGAACCCTTTGTCATTCTTTACTTAGTTCTACACTTCTCAGAGGTGTGGAAGTGTGGAATAGTCCGACAAAGTAAGGATATTGTCGCACTTTCCCCCAGTCATGAACCCGTTGTCATTCTTTACTTAGTTCTACACTTCTCAGAGGTGTGGAAGTGTGGAATAGTCCGACAAAGTAAGGATATTGTCGCACTTTTCCCCA